GAAACGCAGTACAGTTTCACAGCAGAAATAAGCAGGGTGTTGGTACCCACCCGCGCCGTGCCCGCGCCGTACCCGTGCGGACTCACAAGACGTCTTACCACCAGTAAAAATACTCTAGACATTCATGTACAATTCAATGGCTACGAGTGAAAGGGGCGTAGACAAGAACGCAATAACAGCAGGTAACAGCAGAGTTAACCAAGGGGAAATTGATGTAAATAAATTTGTGCATACTAATTAAAACCGTTTAAAAATACGTGGCCTCAATATGAATTCTCTGTTAATAATCTCACCTCAAGTTGAGTTAGAGAGTTTATTATCGGTTAGTCAGGCGTTCTCGGGGTGGTACTCCAAGTCTGGCTGTAGTGTTGATCGCGGGAACCCCCCTACTCTGAACGGGTTCTGACCCCGAGCGGAGATGAGACGTCGGGTGTGAGGGAGTCGTTTGGTGCTGTAGGATCCATAATATCCTCGGGTCCGCGGTCTGCTCCCAACATCTGCAGACCGTCAAATCCCACATACCCCGCGCGCCTAAGCTGATGGCCTTGAGAGGCTAATTCAGCGTAACCTTAACTAGTAGGTAAGCTCGCGGGGCTCAAACCTGACGACGTTGCTAACACAAACCCAAGCAAGAGCCGTGCTTCGCAGAATCTACCACCGGATCGGAAACGCGAGCCACTGAGAAGATCCGGCGAGAAACTCAGTGGGCTGTGTCTGTGGGTTAATTTACTCGTAGAACCCTTCGTCGCAAGCGTCGGGTTCGATGAGAACGATGACCGGTGCTTGAGGTAAAAGCACCGTTAATGGATCGGGAGGATCCGAAATGACGTGTTTTCAGCGACGTCGAGTGCTTTCCATTCTGTCCGCAGGATCGGAAAGCGGACACCTTATAGGAGATACGGCCCCTGCCCGAAAAAAAACAAAAAATAGAGATTATCACAGACGCGGTCTTCAGAATGAGCACACGAGTGGTCACCAACGCCCCAATATTCTTATGTTATTACGGTTTCGGCCATATTTATTGCGTGGATCGAATGCGAAGTGTTCCCCAATATTGTGATGGATATATCCCGAGCCCACGTTTCACGCACTTAACTCGATTCCGTGAAATTTATTGAACGTCTAAACTACAGATNAAAGAGATTATCACAGACGCGGTCTTCAGAATGAGCACACGAGTGGTCACCAACGCCCCAATATTCTTATGTTATTACGGTTTCGGCCATATTTATTGCGTGGATCGAATGCGAAGTGTTCCCCAATATTGTGATGGATATATCCCGAGCCCACGTTTCACGCACTTAACTCGATTCCGTGAAATTTATTGAACGTCTAAACTACAGATGGAATGACAGTTATTGAAAAAGCTCGCACGTATTTAGGGGAGGAGCTTTCATCGGACTCGGAGACGGGCTTTGTGCGATACAAAGTAAGGGATGCTATTGACAGAATAAAGGTCTGGTACCCGAAATCAGGATTTTGCTAGTCTTTTTTTTTATTCGTTTTGTTTGTAGCATAGATAACACATAGTCCGATATTTAACCGATTAATTAATCGATAATTAGGTACGCTATTAACAAAAAGTACTAACTTAATATCTAGATTATATTGAATACGGCACATAATGGTGAATTCGAACCAATCTATTGCAAATCATCGGATATAACTGTGGAATCCAAAAACGATTCGCTGTAATGTAAATATTGTTACCGATAAGAAAATCCGATAAGGGATTTGCGCTCTCAATTTACAAGCACATTTATGAATTATTCATATTTCGTTCAAATAAAATAGTAATATTAATGATAATAACTAATTTTACGGCTTAATAAATCCCTTTTGCGGTTTTTTTTTGTTGTCAACATTACAGTTCTGACGCTCGTGATCGCGAAAACTGTAAAGTATTCATCATCATCATCATCATCATCATCATCATCATCATCATCAGCAGCAGCAGCCTTTATCTGCCCACTTCTGAACATAGGCCTTCCCCAAAGTCTTCCACAGAATGCAGTAAAATCTTCAAAACGTTGGAAATGGTAAGATGTAAAGTCGTCGTGGCCTAAAGGAAAATATTATTGCTAAAGTATTTTCTTTGATTTTCGTGAGTCATGGACATAATTAAAACTGCTTTTTACGGTTTAATTTCGGGTTTTTTAATTATTATTTTTATAACTAAGACGGGTGGATAAGCTCACAGCCCACCTGGAGCCCATACACATCTACAACGTAAATGCGCCACCCACCTTGAGAAATAAGTTCTAAGGTCTCAAGTATAGTTACAACGGCTGCCCCGCCCTTCAAATCGAAACGCATTACTGCTTCACGGCAGAAATAGGCAGGGTGGTGGTGGTATCTACCCGCGCGGACTCACAAGAGGTCCTACCACCAGTAATAAAGTGGGTACTAAGTGGTCAACAGTGCAACTGAGGGTTTTAAAATTCTGTGGTCACATCTCCAGTCCACTATGGTCGAATGTATTCGTAACGCTTCGAACCGCCAGACCTGGAAGCGCATTGCCTGGAGGGCGGTTGTCGGAAGCATGGGCGACCTAACAGTTCCTACTGCACATACAGCGTCAACGCAACCACGACCACTCTGAAAAGAGTGTCCGACTGAGAAGAAGAAGTGGTTACAAAGCTATATACATTCTAATTTCACTTAAAAATATATTAGTTTGTTCGTCGCCTCACGAAGTACATTGACCACACTACTCGTAGGAAACAAGGATGAATAGCCTTGGGGTAACCATTCAATTAATACCCGCCGGGACTGCTCAGCGGTTTATTTGTTTTACTATGCCCCTTTATTGGATATATACGATTAATTGCTGTCATTTCTCATTTGTAACAGCGTTATTATTATTAAATAAATGTCTATATCGAGGGACGAAAAGCTGTTTAGTTTAAGTGACATTTTTGCAACTTTACAGGGGCGCCATTAAAAGTTTAAAACTTGGAAAATTTAAAATTTGAATGGAGTAAACTTAATTGAAGTTCAATTATATACCATCGAACTATTGATGCTAATACCAATTTTTTTTTATTGCCCTTGTAGGTAGACGAGCATACGGCCCACCTCATGGTCAGTGGTTACCGTCGCCCATGGACTTCAGCAATGCCAGGGGCAGAGCCAAGCCGCTACCTACCACTTAATACTCTCCACAAGCCTCTTTTAAAGAAGGACATGTCATAGCGCTCAGGAAACACCGTGGAGGGGAGCTCATTCCATAGCCAGATGGTACGTGGTAAAAAAGATCTCTGGAAACGGACTTTTAATTACAAATATAAATATTGCGTATTAAGCGAAATGTCGTTTAAACTAAATAAATAGCCTTTACTTCTCGATATTACAAGCGACTTTTAAAGCTATTGCATAACTTTTATCACGGGCTTTGAGCTTGGCGACCGACTCAAGAAATTCCGTAACGAAAATAAAACCTAACACCCCCTACTCTGCCTACCATGTAGCTCGCGTTCCACAAATTCACACGTTGCGCTTGTGTAGTATTAGTGAATAAGCGCGCGGCGTGATGTCGCACTGCACGCGCATCATTAAAATTCTGCCCATCTCTCTCTCGCGCGGTCTAGCTTATGAGTATGAAGGGGACAGTTAATGTTTTGCTTTTGTTAATGTTTACAAATATAGCGTGGTCTTATTTCATTATTATTATTGTTTAAATATTAAATTATTATTGTCTAATTATAATTGCATAAGTTGATAAAAAATGCTATGGACTAGCTTTACTGCGGCAGTCTCCGAGTGCCACAAGTTTTTTTTTTATAAAATTAGACTGTAGGCGGCACAATATTCTTCTTCTGGATCAATTGTCGCTGTACGTAATTTAATACGTTCGTATTTTTAAAAATATACGTTCTCGATTCGTTCGTATTTAAAATTGGATCGTATTTAAAAAAAGAAATTCTAAAATCTACAAATTAGCTCGGTAACAGTTCGAACAACCGTCAAAACCCATTAACGATTNCCCATTTCTAAAATATCTTATGCTGATGCTTTACTTTCTTCTTCCAATGTCGGGGCTTCTACTATTTCTACTCCTCGATATGAACAGCCTCATAAACAACCTTTCAGTAACTCTTACAAAAAGACTGTTTTTCTTAAACCAAAATCTGTTCCTGAGCTATCTAAAGGATATGACAAAAAAACACAACAAGAATTAATTAAGGACTATGATATGCCCTCACCCAGAAATGGTATTGCATTAAACTCAAATAACCATAATGAATTGACATTACAATAAATTGCAGACCTCATTAAAATTCTCATTAACACTTTATCACAGTCTAATATTCTTCCACCGTCCAACGCTGCTCCTTTAATTGACACTATCGTTAACTTACCAAATTATATTAATAATGGACAAGCAAGCCAAAGCTCTACAGTGGAACTGTAGAAGTGCTTCGTCTAAGAAAAGTGATATTATTTATCTTATAAATAAATATAAACCTTTTATCTTTGCTCTACAGGAGACTTGGCTAAAAACAGGTGCTCCTTTTAGGTACTCTGGATATACCTGTCTCCGGGAAGATCGTATTGACGGGTATGGCGGGGTTGCTTTACTAGTCAAACATCATCTTCCTTTTTCTCACTTTCCTATTCCTTCTCACAGTAATGATTTTTCAATTATTGCTGCTATTGTAAATAATATCTGCTATGTTTCAATATATATCCCTCATCCAAGTTCTTCTATCTTCGTCGAACTTGATTCTATCATTTCTACTCTTCCTAACCCTTTTATCTTATTAGGCGACTTTAACAGTCAACATAGTTCTTGGGGCAGTTCAACAACCAATACATACGGAGTTTCATTGATTGAACTGTTAGACTCCCATAATCTTTGCTTTCTCAACGACGGTTCTGTGACCCGGCGGACCTCTCCCAATGAAGGCTCAAGTGTCCCTGATTTAAGCATTTGTACTCCTAGTTTAGCTACCACTATTTCATGAAGAAAGTGTAGATTTCTTCTTCATATGGTAGTGACCACTTCCCTTTACTTCTTAGATTTCCTTTTCATATTAATTTTCCATTTAGACATTCTCCTAGATTGAAATATCGACTTAATAATGCTGATTGGGATACCTTTAAAACCCGTATAGAACAAAAGATGACTTGTCTTCCTAATATCTCACATGGTTCAGAATCAGTTTGTGCTGAAGCACTAACTAAATTATTTATAGAGGTAGCTGATAAAACTTTTCCGCTTAAAAATGGTGCTCTGGGCTTTATTCCATCTCCACCTTGGTGGGATCAAAAATGTTCGGATGCAATTAAAAAAAGAAAACAAGTTGAGCTCCAATATTGTGAGAATTGTACATCTGAAATTTTTTATCTGGTTACAGATGCTTTCAAGGCCACTAGTTTATTATTCAAAAAGAAAAAAGCAGATAGCTGGAAATCTTTTTGTCTCTCTATTTCCCCTAATGTCTGTCCTTCTGTGGTATGGCGTAATATTAGAAGATTCAGGTGTGCATTTACTGAAACTTCTTCTGGTTTTCTCCCGGCTTCATTAAATAATCAATTCCTGGACAGACTTGCCCCTACTACTGTTACTGAAAGAATAATTATGCCTCTGATGCTACTGAACCCCTCTGGTCTCAATAGTCCATTTTCTATGTATGAAATTAAAGGAATACTATCTTCATTAGTAGACTCTGCTCCTGGTGACGATGGAATCCCATATTCCTTCATTTCTCATTTAGGTGACCACTCTCTTGAATATATCCTGAAATTGATAAATACAGTCATGTTAACCGGTTCTATTCCTCCACGCTGGAAAAATCAGATTATTATACCCATTCTCAAACCTAATAAGAATTCCTCTGATGCAAACTCATATCGTCCTATTGCATTATCTTCGGTCTTGATAAAACTCTGTGAACGTTTGGTGAAAACTCGCCTTGAATGGTTTATAGAAAGCAATAAATTGCTTTGTGACAGTCAATTTGGTTTCCGTCGAGGGAAGAGTACATTGGACAGTATTGCCATCTTTATCACTGAAATTTTTTTAGCTTTTTCAAGGAATGATTCTGTTGTTGCCACATTTTTAGATGTACACTCTGCTTATGACAATGTAGTGTTGTCAGTTCTCCATAAAAAGCTACAGTATTTGAATGTACCTGTAATGTTATCAAATTTTATTATAAATACTTTATATGAAAGACACATTACTCTAATTTTACAAGACTCTACTGTTGCAACCAGAACCTTATGAAGAGGTCTCCCTCAAGGATCAGTCTTAAGTCCCATCTTATATAATATTTATACCCATGATATGAAAGCTTCTTTAAGTAATCAGATTTGTATCCTTCAGTATGCTGATGACCTTTTACTTTATTCCATTCATCAATCACCAGCCATTGCTTGCTTATTACTGTCCCATTCTCTTAATTTATTAAAAACTTGGCTCGATACTAATGGTCTTGTAGGCGATGTAAATAAAAGACGAGATTTTATTGAGCTATGAGCGTGTCTGATTGTCGTTCGCGCGGTGCCGATGTATCTGCCCGACTGACTCTATTAAAAAAATGCCACAGTTCTTCAGCCCATCGTCGACGATCGTGTATTTATTAAAGAAATAAACGTGAATCATAATTAACAATGAAAACATGTAAACTGTTATAAAACACATAATTCTAAGCGTAACTAAATAAATAATTACAATATTGATACGTGTCGCCTACATCCTGTCTCCCTAGCGATAACTAGTTAGCGCTACAATCCCGCGGTGTAAGCAAGGCGACACGCGTCACGGGTCTACGCAGAACACCCGTGCGAGTACGCACGTCTACAATTCGGACTCGTCCATCCCTGCCTGCCTGTGCCGCACTCACTAGTCCGTAACGCCAACAACTTCGTTCGATATTGGGTTCGACAAGGATGACGTAATCACCTACCTGCAGTGACCTAGACTCCTTGTTCCATTTTTGTCGTGGCAATAAAGTTGGTAAATATTCTTTAAGCCATCGGGTCCAGAACATATCTGCCAGTCTTTGAGCCACTCGCCAACGCTTTCTTAGACAGAGATCAGTGTTATCGTACTTACCGAATTGTGGACTTGTTGATGACGCACCAATAAGAAAATGATTGGGCGTGAGTGCCTCGGGATAATTGGGATCGTCGGATACATGTGTAATAGGACGACTATTAACCAGCGCTTCAACTTCAGTTAAAAGAGTAACCAAAGTGTTCGGATGAGGCGCACGTTCTTTTAAAATTACCTTGAGCGAAGACTTAACGGTGCGAATCATTCTCTACCAGCATCCTCCCATCTATGGAGCACCTGGTGGATTAAATCGCCACTCAACTCCACGTAGAACTCCAGCTTCTCGAACTGCCTCCGTGTCCAGCTCGGCTACACTACGCTTCAACTCTACATCGGCACCTCTCAGGTTGGTGCCGTTATCAGATATAATTACCTGAGGCATACCACGGCGAGCTGCCATTCGTCGAAGTGCCATAATGGTGGAGTCAGCTGTAAGATCCTCGGTCACCTCAATGTGGATAGCGCGTACTGTGAGACATGTGAACAGCATTGCATACCGTTTGTGTCTTCTGCGACCGATTTAACTTCAAGCGGTCCAAAGAAATCCACCCCAGTATAAGTAAAAGGACGCCTATTGTGTTGCATTCTAGCAGCCGGAAGATCGGCCATACGTTGTGGCCGGGGTATAGCTCGTCTGTACCGGCAGAATAGGCAACGTGACGCTATTGTTCGAACAGTTGGTCTGAGCTTTAATATCCAATATTGTTGTCGTAAATTATTTACAACAAGCTCATTAGCGCCGTGAAGGGCTTGTCTATGATGGTAATCCACCAACAAACGTGTGATCTTGTGTTTACCGTCTAGAATGACGGGGCTTCGAGTGTGGTATTCCACACCCACCACCTTATCAATACGTCCCGCCGACACGTAAGATACCTGTGTCATCAATATATGGCGAGACTTGTAGTAATCTACTACTCGAGGGCAGTTGTTTATTTTGTTTCAAATAAGACAACTCAGTTCTGAAATTGTCAAGTTGACATTTCTTAATAAGTAGGTTTTCAGCATCCTTCATCAAGGTAATGTCTAACTTGCAAGATTTCCGCTGACATCTTCTAATAAAGAGCAAAACCCTAGCTGTGGAGCGCACAAGAGTGATCCAACTCGAGATTCTATCTTCACTGGGTAAAGAAAATTCCGAGGAGAGTTCGATCACCACATGAACAGATCGCTCTTCACTTATAACCTCCTCCAGTATTTTAGTGCGTTTGAGGTCCCTGGGCCATTGATCTTCGGGACGACGTAAAAACGAAGGACCTTGGAACCAGTCACTAAGGTAAACAAGTTGTGGTGCATCCTCCCGCGTGGCTAGATCAGCCACGTTAAGCCCGGTTGGCACATAACGCCACTCGCTTGATTTGGACAACTCGTCAATTTCACCTAAGCGATGAGCAACGTAAGGCTTATAGTTTCTAAGATCACTATGTATCCACTGTAAAACAGTGCTTGAGTCCGTCCAAAAATATCGCTTACTAGGTGAAGTATCTTTGTGGTCGCGCTGTACAGTAGCCGTGAGCCGTGCCGCCAATAGCGCGCCTTGTAGTTCCAACCTCGGTATAGCTATTGGACGCAATGGACTCACCCTACTTTTACTGGAAACAAAACAAATAAGTACACAACCGTCTGATCGTCTAAAACGCCAGTAAACTACAGCTGCATATGCTTTAGAAGAAGCATCACAAAAAATATGCATTTGTTTATCAATAATCTTATAAATTTTTGAGCGCGAACCCTGTTGTACGTCAGAGTAACATTCAACCCACTCGTGCGCATTATTATAAAACCGTGAAATACGAAGAGTCTGTAGGTTTTGTAAATCATTGAGCCAACTTGCAAACAAAATGTGTTCCTCGGCGTGGATGTGGCAATTCCAATCAATTCCACTACGATGAACATTTTGAAAAATATTTTTACCCTTTATTATAAATGGAGTAAGAAAACCATATAAATCAAATACCGACATAATTATACTTAACATTTGCGCCTTTGTCGGAGGTTCAGAGCCATTTAAAATATTGGGGAAAATTTTATCGAGAGCAATTTTAAATCCAAATGAATCATCGTTAGGATACCACATCAATCCGAGGGTGCGCTCAGTTGTGTTTGTAGCTCCATGTTTGAACTGCATGGCAGTCGGTGCAAGCGCATCGGAGGGGATTGACTGCAGTACTTCCTTGCTGTTACTAGACCAGCGCGTTATTTCGAACCCACCTGATTCGTGAATGGCTGTTATCTCCCGGACTAATTTAATGGCTGTACCTTCATCGCTGCAAGAGTGTAAACAGTCATCCATGTAGTGATTATTAACAATCACGTCAACGGCTTCGGGGTATAAGTCCTGAAATTTAAGTGCATTTTTATTTTTAATGTACTGTGCAATGAAAGGTGAACAAGTCGCGCCGAATAATAAACTTTGCATCACACATTTCTTTACGTCTGCTTCTGGATTATCTTGCCAGAGAAAGCGAAGAACATTTTGATCTTCGTCGCGAATTTTAATTTGTACAAAAAAATCTTTTATGTCACCTATCAAAACTACTTTATTTTCACGGAAACGTAGCATGATTCCTAGTAAGGAATTATACAAATCGGGGCCCGTGAGTAAAAAATCATTAAGACAAACACCTTTTACCTTTCCAGCGCAGTCAAACACTAACCTAAGTTTTCCAGGTTTATTAGGGTTCTGAACTCCAAAGTGTGACAGGTACCATATGTGACTAGACCTCGAAAGTTCATTTTCCTCAAGTTCTCGAGCATAGCCGTTATCGAAGAGCTTCTTCATTTCGTGCCGGTATCTCTCCGCGTATGCATTGTCAGACCTAAATTTTCTTAAAATACCTGATAACCTGGAACGTGCGTATTCATAAGTGTCTGGCATGCAAAACTCGTCCTTTACGAACGGTAAACCTACCTCCCACTGCTTGCCGGTGTGACGCGCTGTCTCATCTAGAATACGTACCGCTCTCAAGTGGTCCGTATTTTCACGACCTAAAGTTGAAACTCCAATCGAGTCAAGTTCGAACGATTTTCTAACAAGATCGTTTAGCTCATTTAGAATACACGTATTTTGTGTAATCTCATCCGAATGAGTGAGATGGAATATATGGTGATTGTTTAATGCTGTATGAGTGCGGCCATAGCAACCATGGATGGACCATCCTAAACGACACTTCGTTGCATAAAGTTCATGTTTATTACCATGTATTATTTTTAAAGGAGCTAACAAATAAAAGTTATCCTGACCTATCAGTAGGCGAGGCGTTACACATTGTTTACAAACACTACCTTTTAAATGCATTAATTTTTTACACTTCATGTTGTTAATTGTAGACAAGTTTTGTTTAGGTAATTTTAAATTATCTACTTGCCGAAAAATTACATCATAATATTGATTCATATAATAGCCACAAATTTTAGTACATATTTTAGGAGCATCAGGTTGAAAAATTTCTATTCCAAAGGCATCAATGAATTTAATAGGACTAGACTGTGACGTCGAAAGGCCTAATTCCGAAACGAGATTTTTGTCGATCATTGAAACAGACGCACCGTCGTCTAATAAAGCAAAAGTACTCACTATTCCGTTTGGTCCACTTAAATTCACTCGAACTACCTTGAGTAACACATCACATTGCATCGCAGGGTCGCACGTTCGAGTTTGATGCGGGACGTGTCTAAGTTGTTCGCTTGATGCATGCGAGTGAGTCACGGTTTCGCTGCGTGTCGATGATTCATCTTCGGGTACCAACGTCGGCTCCGCTCCTTGCCCGTCAGCTGTTCATGTTTGTGTCGAAACCGGTTTGCTAAAGTGCAATAAGCGATGATGTGCTAAACCACAGCGATCTATGTCGCATTCGGGCGCCGGGCAATTATCTTTTTTGTGTCGTTCCAACAGACAATTAAAACATAAATTATTAGATTTTACGTATCGCCATCTGTCTTTTCTCAAAGCCCTTTTGAACGGTCGACACTCAGTTAACAAATGCGCTGATTTGTTACAAAAATTGCACAGTTTAGTATGTATTTTACCACTCGTAGCAAGTACAGGTCTCTTGTAGTTACTCGGGCGATGTTTATCATAAAACTTTCTGCTGGGTAGCATAGTCTCAGGTTTTCTGGTGTCTCGCAACTGAGTAACTCCTACAACAGAAACGATTTCTGCCTCTCTCTTTAGAAAAGCTGCTAACATTTGAAGCCTTGCAGTATTTGATGAAAGCTTAGCATAAGCATAGTCAGTCCATCTGCTTAGCAATATGCTTGGTAGTTTAGAAATTATCGCTACTGATAATTCAGGACTACGCAGGTAGTCGTGTTGATTTAATGAATATAATGTTGCAACACAATTATTAACTTTTATGGAAAATGGTATGAGGT